GATCCTTGACACTAACATGAACCCTAGAAATTCCAGTAATGTCAGAAATCCTGCCAGATATCCACAAAATTACTGATCATCATCTTCTCTATCAGTTCAACAGGTACAGTTCATGTGTCAAGCAGTGGTCTAAAGCCTGGCACCCTCGTTTAACAGTTGATCAAGGCAAAATATCACCTTTAATTAATAAATGAGCACAGCAATTTGACTATTATAATTGATCCATTCTACAATATCGTATCAAAAAGTACTGTTTTTAATAGTCTGAAGGCAGTACAGTATAATAACGAACAGTTTTGAAATTTAACAAACCTAGGTCCATATTCCAGTTCTGCTACTTATAAGGTTCATGAGTTTTCGTGAGTGAATTAGCCCCTCTAAACTTCCCAATTTAAAACAAAAAATGGGGATAAACTAGTACCTTGAAGTATACCCTGGATGCTAAACCCAGCTCCACCGTACAATTAGCTGTGAATTTGGGCAAGTTATTTAAACTCTCTATGCTTAAATTTCCTCATCTATAAAATAGCAATTATAGTACCAATCTCCTAAGACTGTTTACAGAATTAAATTGAAGCATGTACAGTACCTGCAACACAGTAAGTACCCAATAAATGCCACCTCTTACCACTACCTGTGCTATTACCGCCACAACTTCTTCCTACCTTATAAAGCCATTATAAGGATGAAAAGAGACAACAAATTTTAAAAGTGTAGCATAGTTCTTGGTACTTATTAAGATGTCTCTAAATGCAGGCCACTGTTTTTAAAAGATATTGAGAGGGGCGGGGAGAGGTAGAGAGGGGTAAAAGGGGTAAAATATATGGTGATGAAAGGAAATTTCACTTTGGTGAATATACAATGCAATATAATGTATTATTGAACTGTACACTTGAAACCTATGATTTTATTAACTAATGTCACCTCAATAAATTTAATTTAAAAAAGATATCACCTCACTTAATTCCCATTAAAAACCCTGTAAAGTAGGAGCTATTATGATTTCATTATTGATAATGAAACAGGCTCAAAGATTTAAAAACTTGCTTAATGTCACACAGTAAGAAGCCTAACTGAAATGAAAGAAAACTATGGAACTGTGAAAAATAAGATTGGAGTGGACAAATGGAAATTGGTAATGCTGAATCCTAAAAATTCAGGAAGGAGTTTGCACTTGACATATGTGCAATAAAGACTACCATATGTTCTTAAACCAGGAGTAAGGCTTTATGATGAAGATGGTACAAAATTTCAAAAATATGGGTGATTTCCCCAGTCAACAAATAAAGAAAACTAGTAGGTGGTCAACACAAAGATATGACCTAGGCCTTAGGTCATCAACACAGTGATGTCGGCACTGTAATGAAATCAGCGTGTGAAGCTTACTAGGCATTCAATAAATAGCTGGGTTTTCACAAAAGTGCTGCTTTGCCCAAATGACAACTGTACTCAAGTTACAAAGAATATCACATTTAAAAAGAACCTACCACAGGAAGGACAATGCGTAATTAGTTTATATAACATGGTTAATTTAAAATTGAAAATGACAAATCAAACCATATGTCATCTTTGCCTACTTAATCAGGAAGTCAGCCCACAAAGCTTCCTCCTATCTTTGCTTGAAATTGAGTTACAACTCCCTGTGTGCCCTAAAATACAAAGCAACTAAGACATCCCTGCCTGGAACAGACTAGGGGAAAAATATAAATGTCATTTTTCCTCAAGGCTAATGGATCCAACCCAGGTGCCACTGTTACAACTTCATTTCCAAGTATTGGCCCCTCCTGTCATGCAGAATATTCCATGCCCCGGGAAATCTGCCCCTGGCTCTTCCACGTTATTGCCTCATTGCCCAAGTCAATATTGCTAAAGCAAGAATCCAAAGGACATCATCTGCCTTTTCTAGAGCCAATATCCAAAGAAGGGAAACTCTCTTATTTTAATAAACCTCTGTTTTGGAGCACAATAAATGTTTAAACAGGCGCTGTAATCAGCAGAAGCTGACTTATTCATCAATTCTTTTATTAGGAATATAATTCTTGTTTTACCCAGCTAAATACTAACAGAGTAAATGCCAATATGCGGTATGCTTTTATTAAATAAAATGTCAATAAGTGCATAGTATCTTAGTCCTAAATGAACTGTGTGGATTGGGAAATTTGGGGGGGAGGGGCAGGGAGAATTTTAAGGCAGTTTTTATCCCCAAGAAGTTATTGTAACCACCACTAAGTGGCATGTTGGTAAGAACAGGATATGGTGAGATTTGACAAACATCAATCAACATAATCAAGTTATCCTATTTAACATCACCAATGATGATGATGAGATGCAATAAGAAAGATACAGCTCTTATAGCACTCTTGTAAAAAAAAAGTGTTTAATTTGAATCTAGCCATGAAGACATAATCAGACAAACCCAAACTTCAAAACAACTGGCCTAAATTCTTCTAAATCAATGTCTTTTGTCACAATGCCAATGTCACACATACACACAGCGGCTAGGAAACTTTTCAGAGTAAAGGAGATCAAAGAAACATAACAACTAAATACAATGTGTGATTCTTGACTTGTTCCTAAATTGGTAAAAAAAAAAAAATCCAGCTAAATGACATTATTGGGACAACTGGACAAATGTGAATATAGGTTGCATTTTAATACGAATGGTTTTATCAGTATTAAATTCCCCAGGTATGATAATGGTATTGTAATTACATAAGAGAATGCCTCTATAAGACTGGGTAAAATGACATAGCTACAACTCTCAAATGGTTGACTGTGTGTTGTGTGTGTAGAAAGAGAAAGCATGCACATGTGACACAAGGTACATATGTTAAAATGTTAACACACGCAGATTCTAGGTAAAGGGTATAAAGGTAATTGTGGTGGTCTTTTTGTAACTATTCTATGGGTTTGAAATTTTTCAAGCTAACATGTTGAGAAAAGTAGAAATGCAAAACTAAAGCATTCCATAAGGTTAAAAAAATTAGTATAATCTACAATCAACATAAAATGCATTTTCCTCCTATACTTTTTAGGGTAACTAGAATCCGTCAACTGACACATCTGTCAATTATATTTACAAGTTGTTGATTCCTACTGAGCAGGAACTGTCTGCTCTGTAGCTAATGTTTCGCTATTATGTAATATATTCACAAGCACTGAGACTTCTAGAAACTGCCAACCTACACAAAACTTCATATACTCTTATAAGACTTAGAATATTACTAATTTTATTTACGAGTATTTAAAGTAAATATTCCAAGTGAATTTTAAAGATTGTCTAAATCTATACTTATAGGCAAGCAATCACTTAATTTTCTCAACTAATTAATTAACTAACTGAAGTTGACTTGCTGTTTGAAATTTAACCTGTAAAATTTGCTTAACTTGCTAGGTCAATTTAATGGATGCCAGCAACTACTTTTTAAAACCTAATTCTGAAAAACAGAACAAAATGATCTATTGGCAGACATTCCTTAGAAACACACACATACACAAAAGGCCCATGTGAACAGTGCCTATTAACTGTCACAGTCAACTCTTAGAAAGCAGTGTTGAATGGAATTGCTTAAATTCTATGTTCAACCTATGTTATCGATTCAAATCACGTTATAAAAAACTAAACCTGGGCAACTGACCAAGTCAGCAAACAATTAAACTGTAGCATTCTCTTGGGAGGTAACAAGTATCCTCTTTCCAATTCTGTTACTGAATTGTTATAGGACCTATAAGCTAACTTCTTTAAACCTCACCATTTCCAGCTTTAAAATGAAGGAAATTCTGACACTATCACAAAAAGATGGCATAGAAGGTAAGTAGAATCCATTTTCCTAACTATGTATACTAAGTTCAAGAATAAAAGAGTGAATACAAAGCTTTCCAGATATATAAATAAACCCAAGGCCTGAGACAAAGTTAGACAAAGAGCAAACACTTTATATGCAGTATATAAACACTTAGTTTTGCTTTGAAAATTTTGTATCCTTTTACCTGATGAAGTGTCCAAATGATAGCCAAAAATTTTTTTTCTTTTAATTCTGTTATTAAACCAAATAAAGCATAAATATTCCTCACCTTGAAAAAAATTCTACTGTATGTCTATTATGTATTATTTACTCAGCAGGTATTTAGCCAGTGACTGAACAAAAAAATAATAATTCAAGAGAGTTTTCCATTCATGCCTTCCCACTCCCGGTCCTAGGAGTACCTGACAGAAGTACAGTATATGTGCCCCCTCATAGACTTAGGGTTCAACAGAAGATTCTTAAGACCACACTGCCAGAGGTCAAGCCTCATGTTAGAGGCCAGGCAGGAACTAAAAGTTAGGCCTCCAGACCTTCCCATTTCAGGGACCCCTTCCATTCTCAAATCACATATATCTATTATTATAAAACTCTTTAAGGGAAAAGTAAACCAAAGTGCTATGAAAGACAAACATGAAAATTATTTTGGATTGAATAAAAAGGAAAAGCAGCATTGAAAAGAGACACTCGACCTGACCTATCAAAAGGACAAGAAAGAAGTACAAGGGAAAAATATATACCAGGCAAAGAAAACAGCAATGCAAAGGTCCTGAGGTAGGAAAGGGCTTAGAAGGTTACAAAAACTATTTGATTGCCAGTGGAAAGTGTGTGTTTGGGGGGGTCAGGACAGTGGCAAGATATGGTTGGTGAGTAGGTGAGGTTACAACTGGATCTTATAGGTCCTAATAAGGAATGTGGATTTCCTCTAAGTACAACAGAAAGGCAAGTAAGGATTTTATACAAGGGTGAGGGAAGACCACTAATTGATCCAATCATTCTTGCAGCTGTGTAGAGAATGGGGCAAGGGGACAGAAATGAAAGCATAAAGCTATTGCTTAATCCAGACCAGAGATGGTGTAGCAGAAAATTAGCAGTGAAGATGGTGAAAAGTAACTGCATTCAAAATATATTCTGAAAGTGGATAAGACAGGACTGGCTGATAGACTGGACTTAGGGGTGAGGAAAGAGGGCTAGGTTTTTCATCTAAGCAACTAGACAAATGGGAGAAAAAGGCTGGAAATATACTTTTGGGACTCATCAGCATATAGATGGGTAAAATGACTATGGAAGAGAGTGTAGAGAAAAAGAGTCCCTGTACTGAGCCCTAAGATACCTCAACATTTAGAAGCCAAGAAAGGGAAAAAGGGGGAGCCAAGAGACTGAATACTCTTGTTGTAGGAAGAAATTCAGAAGAGCATGTCACAAAGCCAAAGAAGTTTCTAGAGTTTTTGGATCAACTGCTGCTAAGAGACCAAGAAAGTCCAGAAAAATCAATCTTTGGATGTGACAGGATGGAGGGCTCAGATAATCTTCACAGATCCATTTCCGTAGACTGGTGAAGATGAAAGCCCAATTGAATGACTGAGAAAATGAGGGGATAAACAATACTTTTGTTTTGTTGTGACAGGAAACAAATGCAGCAGTAAGTGGACATGAATGTGGGGACAAAGACATTTTTGATATGGATAAATTAAAGCAGGTTTATATGCTGACAGGAAATGCTCTAGTGAAGAAGGGGAAAATGATAATGATGACTTGAGCTAGAGTAAAATGAATATATTTCAAGTTGCAGATTAAACCCCATCAATTTACTGGGTCGTCATTCATTTTTAACAAATGAGAAGAGACTGAAAAAAGAGTAAAAATAGGGAAAATGTAAAAAGGAGTCATTTTAACCAAGCTGCTAAATTATTAACATTATAAACATTGAAGCATGAGGAAACAATTCTTTTTCTTGTCTTAACTAGTCTGGGAACATAAAACTTTGGAACTTTCCAGTCCTGCATCAATACCTGGATATACAGAAGCTTGTTGAGCATTAATGCCCAGACATACATCAAACCTGCAGATAACCCTCTAACTACCCTCTACAGGACTCAGGACCAAGCCTCCTGGTACCCATCCTCCAGGACACCTGACATCTGATAGCTGTCCTGACCCAATCCAGGGGCCTACCTAGAATGCAGGACTGATTATTTTCAAGGATATGACTTTCACTCAACTTTTCTTTCTTCTTCAGAACACTTCTTGATTTTTGCCTGTGTTTCCAGTTAGAAAACTCTAAAACCCTTGAATAAATCTTTTTATTTAAATATTTTTATTCAGATCAAGCTGCTAAATTATTAACATCAAGTGGGCTGAGACACAAAACAATGTTTATTTTTTGTTTTAACTAATACTGAAAACTTAAACTTTTGAACTTTCCAGTCCTACATTAATACCTGGATGTACATCACTGTGTTATGTGTTAATGTCTGGACATACATCAAACCATCAATTAACCATGTGAATGACCTCAAAAAGAAAATGGTCCATTGTCTACACCACTGAACATCTGATGAATACTATTGGACATCTGATGAAAACCATCTTGGACCAATCTAGGGGCTAAGAATGCAGAACTGATTCTTCTCAAGAATGTACTTTTCTTCCTCCTTCAGAAAATTACCCTGTTGTGTTTATGGTTTGCAAATCCTAAGATCCTGGAATAAATTTTCATCATTTATTTCTAGCCAAAGCCTCCTGACTCTTTTTGAGTAGATCTGACAAGACAAAATCAGGGTGTACGGCATACAATAAGTATCGTTTCATGAAGCTTTCACTTTGGGTATATATACATATTGCGGGGTTTTTTTTATTTTTTAAGTCTTTTTTAGTACGTATAATCATCACACAGGTGGCAAAATAACGTAAAGAAAAATGTATTAAATAATTAAATAATCAGTGCCAAAGATAACACAATACAGATACGCCTACGAATTAATGTCAACCATGTAAAAACCCACGGGCGGAGTAGATGAAAAACACTTCCATTGGAATGCAGTACAATGGACAAACATGCAAAAGACCAGGTGAAGTTAGTTAAACTGTTGAACGGCTGATACTTCCCAGACACACACACACACACACACGTGTTGTTTTGGTGGTCACAATCCAGGCACAAACACCTTCTTCCCAGAAAACCCGCCTCTGTCTTCACAGGGCTAACTGCTCCACATCAACTCGGACAGCACCTCTTCCAAATTAGGGCTCCCCACGAGCCCACTGCCCCAGGCAAAGTTTATCCATCTCTCCTCCAGGTACTTCCAGGGCGGACTCAAGGATTTATACCTTCTAAGTCTCTGCTCGGATACCTGGCACGGCTCCCCACAGAGACCTAGGAAATGCTAGTAAATGAATGAAGAAGGAAGCAGACACACTGAAACATACTCGGCCCCGGTCCCAGGCACCTGCTGGGAGCGCGGGCGGAGGCTGAGTCGAGCAGAGCGAGAGTCTTTCTTCCGCGTCTTCCTCCCCACACGCCTTTGCGACCAGTGCCCGCGCCTCTCGGGTCCCAAGACCTAGCCGTCCCCAGCTGTGAATCTCCACCCAAAGACGGGGATACGCCTTGCGCAGCTTACACTTCCATGCCGAACCCGCCTCGTCGTCTCCGGCCGCCAACACAAACACACACACACACAAACAAGCCCCGCCGCCACTGCCGCTACTCTTGGCATCCGCGCCGAGTGCTGGATCACCGACTCTGGCGCCGCGGTGCACGCCGGGATTGCCGCGCTGCACGTCGGGAGCCTGGCGGACCTCGCGCTACAGCGGTGGAGGCGGCTGCCTACGCTGTTAGGCCTGGCTGCTGTTCACCCAGCCGGATTTTAGCTTTTTAAGCGTTTGCAGATGGAACTTAGCTCATGTTTTCGTGGTCTAGGTTATACCAAAGTATTATTAAACTAAGATTCCAAAGACATCATCGTGTTAGTAGTCCTTTGCGACGTTAAAATCCCACCCCTTGGAGAGTAGCGATGGTGAGGGAGTGAGGTGGATCTGGGCTTCCGGAAATGTTCTATTGCGTGATCTGGGTGTTGGGGACGTGGTGTGTTAAGTTTCTGAAAATTCAGTGAGCTATACATTTATGTCCACTTTCCTGTATGTATGTTATAATTCAATAAAACGTATTAAAAAGGGAAGGGAAAAGTCTCAAACTCCCTTTTCCCTGTTTTCATTCTGCCTTGAGAGCTATTTGGCCAAAAACGTATGCATAAAAGAGCCTTAACATCAGGCACAGTCCTTTCTAGAAATTTATCGAAGAATTATCAGGCGCTTTAAAAAGATGGGTGTGTTGTGATGTTTTCGTTTCAGTCATGCAATATAACATGCAGCCGTGAGAAGTCATGCGGCATATTTGGTATATTGGGGAAATGCTCTTGATATAGATTTTTAAAGATAGAAAATGATGTGGTGTGACCCTAATCTAAGGAAAAATAATGCATAGGGAAGAAATACCTAAAGGTTTGGGAGGTAAAGCCGCCTAATCTACATTTTATGTCTTTTAAAAAAATAGGGGTGGGAGATAGATGTTTATTATCTTCTGGATTTTTGGGTATGTCTGAAGTATTTCCTAAAGACTGGCAGGAAATGTACCAAAATGTTGATAGTGGCAGGTGTCTTTAGATGATGAGTCAATTGCTATTTTTTTCTTTTTTTATAGTTCTATCAGTTATTTGCTAAACTCATTCTCTTTGCAAGGCCCTTACTAAGGGCTTTGTTATTCCATGATATTAACAGTTAATGGTGCACACTTTACAGTCAGACAGCCTGTGATTCTGTAACAAGATGAAATGCTTCTCTCTTCGACTCTACCTTAATTCCAGCCAGCATTTCCTCAGACATGCTAATTGTTTAGAGACATACTGCCTAAGACTTGAGTAACTTCTGGTGTGCCTGACAAGCTGACAGCCTAGCTGAGGAACCAGCTCTGGACATCAATAACCACAATATACTATGTTTAGATGCCATGGAGCAGAGGAGGAAATGACTAATGAGGTGGAGAGGCATCACAAAGCCAGGGGTGTTTGAGCTGGGTGTGGGGAGGAGCACACAAGAACAAAGTTTTAGGGAAGCTAGGCTAGTGCCTTTGAGGGCCCCATGATAAAATGGCTGAGCTCCAGGTTCTCCAAGAGAGGCCACCCTAAGCCCTTGGGGGCTGTATGCAGTCACCCAACTTATCCCCTAGGGGAAACTGAGTGGTCAGGAGTGAAGCCCTCTCCCAGGAAAAGGCTGTCCAGAAGGATCATGCAGGACAAGATAACCGAGCCAACAAAGCTGGGCCAGTCAAGTGCTGAAACTCTTACCTGGCCTGGCCCAAGTCTCTAATTCAACTCCCTGCAGCTTTCCTAACTTGAGATTGACACACAAAGCACACGAACCTAGTAAATGGCTTTTTTTTCGTTCTTAATAGCCTGTTTTTTAGGCAGAGGTATCAAATATACACAAAGGTCCAGAGTATGAGCAAACCTTGTATGTCTTCCAAGTGGAAAGTCCTATCGAACACTGAAGGTATTAAGTCCAGAGCTCAGAAGAAAATCAGCAGTTAGAGCTTTTGAAGTAGAAATGAAGCCTTTAAAGTTAAGTCACCCAGGGAGAGTCTAGAAGAGTAAGACTTACCTGGTCCTTACCAGGCGTCAGAGAGTTGATGTAAGCTCTTCACATGTTTGTATTCATTTAATCCTCACAAAGTCCCCATGAGAATGTGTGCCAAGCACTGTATTAGCATGATCTCATTTACTTCTCTCAAGAGTTCGAGGAGTTAAACACTATGATTAGCCCATTTCACAGAGAGGAAAGTGAAGCTCAGAGAGGAGTTAGGCAGTGGAAGAGCCAGGTCTCTCACTTCTGGTCAGCTTCAACACTCATGTGTGCCAGCACCACCCCAACTTTACCCCTCTCAGTTTTAGGGGCTGCTAACATTAGGGGTGCCTCCCTGTTCTGCATTAAACCCTTCCTCAGTTATTTTGATGCACCAAGGTGAAAATTTCAGGGAAGAGAGGCCAGGCAAACTTTGCACTCTTTGAGGCAAATAAATCCTGTATAACACTCAGCCCTCAGCTGAAAGTGGGCATCTTCTATTGTCTGAACAGCCCTAGATCCTCATGGTAGCAATAAGGTTGGACACAGAAAGTTTGCTTATGATCAAGGCCCTGAAGGAAACACCAGCAAAGTAGAATCAGTTTGTGATCTGTTTTTTATCACCCCAAGAGTAGGAATTGTAGACTCTTGGAGACTTCCATTCATGGATTATATTCCTGAGGACATAGTGGAATGAGGAAATCAAGTGTGGTGGTTACAGATGTGGGCTCTTGTAGCTAGACAGCCTGAATTAAGTACAGGCTCTATCATTAGCTGTGTGGCCTCAGGCAAGTGTCTTAATCTTTCTGGATCTTGATTAACTCATCTGTAAAACAATAATAGCAGTACCTCCCTTACAGAGTTGTGCTTAGAATAGTACTTGGCAAATGGGAAGCATGGGGGGAAAATGTTAACTATTATCTTCCTATATATCTAAAGCAAAGAAATAAGATTTTGAATAAAGAAGCTTTAAGTATAAGGTGGTATGTGCATATCATCTAGTTTCCACTTCAGGAATACTGTCCGTCTTCTTGGGAAAATCACGGAGCCTTTCATTATTCGCCTTACCTCGGAACAATTGACATGGGTTGAGTTAGAGGCTTTCAGTTAGTAAGAAAATGTGTTATCTGGCAGTGCAGGGCTTGGTGGTAGGAGTGGGAATGAGTGGTCATCCCTATTCAGGGGTATTTTCCTGGAGTCTCTTCATATAGTAGGCAGAACAATGGTTTCCCAAAGATGTCCACATCCTAGTTCTCCAGAACCTTTGGATATGTTACCATACATGGCCAACGGGACTTTACAGATGCGATTAAGGTTATGGACTTCAAGATGGGGAGATTATCCTGAATCATTTGGTCAGGTCCTATCTAATCGCACGGGTCCTTAAAAGAGGAGAATCTTCCCCAGCTGATGTCAGAGCCAGGCGTTATTATGGAAGAATGGTCAGAGAGATGCAATATTGCAGGCTTTGAAGAAGGAGGAAGGGAGCCATGAGCCAAGGGGTGTAGGTGGCCTCCAAACACTAGAAAAGGCACTGGAGCCTCCAAAAGACTGCTGCCCTGCCATCACCTTAATTTTAGCCCAGTAAGACCCATGTAGGACTTCTAACGTATATAGTCATGAGATAATAAATTTGTGGGGTTTTGTGTGGTAATTTGTTACAGCAGTAATAGAAAATGAATACACTCCCATGCAAATCTTTTGTTTCATGCAGACCGTCCTCCTATGTATTCACTGTCCACAATTACAAAAGTCTGATTCTCCAGCTCTGCCCCTTTTCTGCAGGAAGCTGAATAACTCAAATGGCTTCTTGATAAATCCAGGTTGTCTCAAGGTCTCCTGAGCACACACATGCATGAGCACACCCAGAGCTCTAGGCCTCTGGTGGTTGCCACTGACCTCTCTGCAGTTGATGCAGGATGGGGCAAATTTCCCTAAGTTGGTGGGAGGAGACCAAGCCCTGCACCAAGAGAGAAGAGAGTCCTTTGGCGGAGAGTGTAGAAAGAATTCAACACACACGCCAAAGTTAGAGTCAAAAGGAAAGTTTATTAGAAAAGGGATAACACTCCACAGACAGTGCGTGGTCTCCTCTCAGAGGCAGAGAGTGAGAGAGACAGTGAGAGACAGAGGAAAAGCACTGAGAGGGACCCTGAGCGTTCAGGGAACTCAGTTTATATTTCATTCTTTGGTTGCCATTTCCTTTGATATGAACATACAGGGAGGAAGGGGAAGAGTATGTAGCATGAAAAGGTAAGAAGATGTAGAGCAAAAGGCCTGCTGGCAGTTTCCAGCCTTTAATCCATAAGTTCCCCAAGATTTTAGCCATAGGGAATGACTCTTGGTTCCTGTTTCCCCTTCTCAAGTATGGAGAATGGGTTGTTAGTAATCCAGCAGAAATCTTCCTTTGTTCTGAAGGTGTCCTTCTGGTCTGGCTGCAGGGCTGATCAGCATACTGTAGTCTCTGAATGTGGCTTGATTAACATTTTTAATTCTTTTGCCTCCTCCCTACATTACAGTGATGGCTGCTATATTGCTACAGCAGGGCAGGCTGCTGCTGTTCCTAGGTCCTGAGGCATGCCTACTTTCTGACACCATTGTTGCAGATGCTTTGGGCTTCTTTAGTTTATTTTCATTCCCTGGCTGCTGAAGTCTATGGAACCAGGTGAGGGGATAATTAAAATGACAGGCACAGCTCTGCCTCCTCCTACAGCAGGAGGGAGCTTCTTGGGATGGAGCTTTTTCCTAGAGATTCCTTGGTCCTTGGTGGGACTACTTCCCAACTCCTAGCCCAGTCAGCCCAGGCCTGACTCCTGGGGCCTCTACCATGTGCTTCTCCCACTTAACTCACATAATTCCTTAAAAAGTGCTTTGAGCAGTGCCTGGCACATAGTGAACTCCACATAAGAGAGAATATAAACAAATGTCCTACATATTTTATTCTCTTTGTCTAGCATAAATGTTATAGCATCGAGATTAAGAACACAATTTCTGGGGCCAGACTGCTGGCCTTTGTTTGGATCCTGTCTCTACCACCTACTAATTTTATAACCTTAGGCAAGTTGATTAATCTTCTCTAAGCATCTAATCTTCTAAATTTCTTTATCTGTAAAATAGTGATAACTGTGTCTACCTCTTAAGAAGATTAAACATGATAA